ACCTAGCTAGCTTCCAACTTTTCTTCTATAGCTTTCTCATCTCTCACAGCGTTCACAGAATTGAAGAGATTTAGGATCTTGCTCTGGAGTAAGGTTTGGCTTAAGGAAATACTGAGGTTGGTTCAATCATCTATCCAGACCATCCAGCTCTCCTCATATCAGCAATAAGGTGGGTGTGCTTTCATCTCATTTGTGTATTCACTAGAGTAGCACTTTTAATTTTCTTAAAGAACGTTTTCTTTGCATTCACAAATTGGCTGTTTGGCAAGAGGCCTAGCTTTTGGCCTATCTCAGCTTTCAACATGCCTTCCTCACTCTTCATTTCTAGTTTCTTATATAAAGGAAGAGATGAGCGACTCTTCACTTAAAAACTTAGAGGCCATTGTAGGGTTGTTACTTGGCCTAAATTCAATATTGTTGTGTCCCAGGGAATAGGGATTCAAACGGAGAGAGATGGGAGAACTACCAGTAAGTCAGAAAAGACAACATTTATCAATTAAGTTTGCCGCGTTACATGGGTAGGGTTTGTGGTGCCCCAATGCAATTACAACAGTAACATCAAACATGACTGATCACAGATCACCGTAACAGATACAAGAGTAGTGAAAAGATTTGAAACATTGTGAGAATTACCAAAATGTGACACAGAGACATACTGAGCACATGCTGTTAAAAAAAAAAGAAAAAAAAAAAAAAAAACCCAGCACAGATAGGCTTGCTTAATGCAGGATTGTCAAAAAACACAAAAACAAAACTGTACCTGCGAAGCACAAAAAAAGTGAAGTGCAATTAAAGGAGGTATGCCTGTAATTTAACAGATAATTCTGATAACCTAGTTAATGGTACAGTAAGTTACTGGTATTACTAAAGCAGACTTCTACATATGTGGGGGATGACAGAGGGGAAAAAACAGATACTGACTCCAAGAGGTGTTTAGAGATTAAACTCCTGAAAATATCACATATGCCAAGGCTGCTTTTGTGTCCTTTGCTACCTTCTCATGAAGCTACCATGAAGGATACATAATCACACACACAATATAACATGACTGCATTACAGTATAATAAACTACAAAGTTAACCTCTGAATGAGACTCTTCACAAGGGATCTTCTCCCTGCCCAGGGGATCTTCACCACCTTTGATTTGTTCTAAGCATACCATGCTTGCAAGTTGCCTTCAAAACATTACCCACTATGTCCACATCACTAATACATCATGATATGCCATCTTCAAGCCATTCTTCTATTCCACAGTAAGTCATTGCTGGGGCTTAAATTATGAGTGATCATTGCCATTTTAAGAATTTGTGCTAGAGAACTTGGTGGGGGGATGTGGGGGAGGAAAAGGGGAAGGTCAGTATGGTATAAATTCTCAAGCAAAGGTGACAAATAGAAAATAGAAAATTTTCTCTATGTCTTTAGTATTTTGTTTTTTTCTTGGGTTGGTGCAAGAGTAACTGTGGCAATAAGTCAGAAGAATAAATGATGAGTATTTATCTTAGTTTCTACTTAGGCACAATGCTTTCTCATAAAAATCTCCCATTCATCACACAGTGTTTTCAATAGCAGTTTAACACAGGTGATGCAGACATTCAAATAGGAACATGAGTTAAGAAGATATTCAAATAGGAAGAGGAATAGAAAAACGAGTTATTGATTGGAGAGCAGAGAAATGACAATTTTGACTTCAGTCAGATTGCATATGTAACTCTGGCTATTACATATAGAACTGACTCCAGGAAATACAAAGGGAAATTCGTGCAAGAAATTGGAAAGCTACTTCAGTGGTGTGGTCAAAAAGTTATGATGTCCACACTAATAATCCCCAGAACCTGTGAATATGTTACTTTACATGGTGAAAGGAACAATGCAATGTAATTAAGGGTACACACCGTGAGATGGGGAGATTATTCTGCATTTCTTAGGCAGCCCAATTTAATCATATGAATCCTTAAAAGCAGAGTGTGTTTCCTAGCTATGTCAGAAAGATGAGATGTGTGAAGAGCTCAGTCTGCTGCTGCTGGATTTGAAGATAAAGAAGAGGACCTCTGGCAGGAGACATTTCTTATCAGTGGAGAAAAAACAAAAAGAAGAAGAAGAAGACCACAAACTAAGGAATGTGACAATCTCTAGAACCTGGAAACAACCCTCACATCTCATCTAAAAAGACTGGCTGGATGTGGTGGCTCATGCCTATAATCCCAGCACTTTGGGAGGCCGAGGTGGGCAGATCACCTGAGGTCAGGAGTTAGAGATCAGCCTGGCCAACATGGCAAAACCCCGTCTCTACTAAAAATATAAAAATTAGCTAGGTGGGGTGGCAGGTGCCTGTAATCTCAGCTTCTCGGGAGGCTGAGGCAGGAGAGTTGCCTGAACCCAGGAGGCAGAGGTTGCAATGAGCCAAGATCATGCCACTGCATTCCAGCTTGGGTGAGAGTGAGACTCTCTCTCCAAAAAAAAAAAAAAAAAAAAAATATATATATATATATACACACACACATACTAACAAATCTACTGATTTTAAGAATCTGTCTATTAAAATAAAGCTAAGGTAAGAGGCATATATTCAACTCAAAAAAAATTTTAAAGGACACTATTAATTGGTGATTTAACAAACAATAAAAATCAATTAACTTTTTAAAAATGTACCATAACATAATCTGACAACTAGTGACAATAATTGCATTTAATAATTAAGTTCAAAGAAATAAAGATGGATTATTCTAATTCTGGCAAAACTCTAAGTAAACTGACAAAACTCATATGAAGCAATCTCGAACATATCAATAAAGAAAATTCACCAAGACAGGAGTATGCTATCATTTTTTCCTGATTTAATATTCTATTACAGTTTCTTCCCATGCCTAGACCAAGAGTAGGCAAACTATGGCCTGTCAGCCAGTCACCCGATTTTGTATGTAAAAAATTACTAGTTTGCATATTGTCTATGGCTACTTTTGCACTATGACAGCAGAGTTGAATAGCTATGACAGAGACTTCATGGCCTGCAAAGATGAAAATATTTACTCTAACTGCCCCTTTAAGAAAGAATTTACAAAACTCTGGCCTAGACCCTAGGGATCCTGATTAATAGAGATAAATTATTCTTACAGTTAGAAGAAAAAGTCTCCACCAATATAAGTAAATGCTTACCTGATGGTCTGAAAATTCCCAGAAAGCAAAATATATAAAGTATTATATATTAGTCAGAAAAATGAACAAAAATAATTACATTAGCTACTTACGTCTACGAAGCATTAATAACTTTGTTAAGATTAGAATAGCTTATATGTATGTATAATATGCATATATATAACAAAGATGACAAAAAAAGTCTTATTTTGCAAGTCAAGGTTTCGAGAAATCAAACTAAAACACAACCAGAGACAAGTTCAAAAATTCAAGTTGTCCCAAGGACATGTGGTCATATTGTAAGGTCCCTGCCTCACTGGTATCAGAAATAGAGTACAGTCATGCCTCAGTATCTGTGAGGAATTGGTTCCAGAATCCCAGCAGATACGAAAATCCACAGATTCCTCACATAAGATGATGTATTTGCAAATAACCTACACAGACCCTCCAGTATACTTTAAATCACCTATTACTTATATAAGTAATATCATACAAATGCTATGTAAATAATTACATGATATTTTAAAATTTGCATTACTTTTTATTACATATTGTTACTGGTTTTTCCCCAAATATTTTTGATCTGGAGTTGGTTGACTCCATAAACACAGAACACACAGATACACAGAGCTGACTGTATTTCTCATTAATCTGGAAGAAAAGCAAGAAAAATGAACCAGCAGCAGTTATGATAAGCTCATTTTGTACTATGCTCTTTCTCCAGACAGAAATACAGAAATCTTGAGACCATACTCAATGTCTACTCCTACTCCATGTTCTTCCCAAATGTTTAATGTTGCCCACCAGTCTTATATTTGTGGGCCTCCAGGTGGTTCCTCCCAGACATCCCAAAGTTCTCTACCCATCCAGAAGACCAAAGGATTTCCTGGGTGAATTTACTATGTAAAGTCACTGAGAGAGCATGAAAGCTATCGTAATTTAGTACTAAGGGGTCCACCATATCACACTTTCCTAAAACTTGCATGAAATCACAGAGCAAAGCCTATAAAGCTATGGTGCTTACTGCTCTGTTTAATTTGTAGTATTTATGTCAATTTCAAAGATTAACTACTGCCAAGTGTTCAGAAAACAGGCCAGGTTCCAAAAAACGCTGCCATATCCCAGGTGTTGAGGCAATAATTAAAGAGAATTAATGTCAATGAATGGGTCAGTAAAAAGAAATGGCTGATTGTAGGGCAAAAAACAGCTCCTGTGTGGTGAACCAGAGTAGCCATTTCTTTTTTTTTTTTTTTTTTTTAAAAGATGGGGTTTCACCACGTTGGTCAGGCTGGTCTTGAACTCCTGACCTCAGGTGATCTGCCCGCCTTTGCCTCTAAAGTGCTTGGATTACAGGTGTAAGCCACTATGCCTGGCCTTTTTTCTTTTTCTTTTTTTTTTTTTTAAACAGAGTAGCCATTTCTAATAGTCAAATGTCCAGGTCACTAGAGAAATGTACAGAACACATCTTTCAACCTTCCAAATTTTAGTGGGCTCTTTTATTAAGTAAACATTGTTGCCTGTAATAACTTAGCAATTGTCTACATTCATAAAGCATGAGACCAGGTAAACAAAATGATAAAAACTGAAGATAAAATAGACAAAAGCAAAAGCACTTGGCAAAGTAGAAGCTGAAATATTCAAATATCGTTTTTTTCCTACAAAATCATGCTGTCCAGACTCAGGGGCCACTGCTCCAACTGAAGTAGAAATGTTGTCCCTGTGAATTTTGCTTCTCTGGTTCAGAGGAAGTATCATGCCTGTGAAAGGTTAATTATCCTAGCAATCTTACGCCCTCTTTCACAAACTGCAAAGAAACTGCTTTATAGTTGGCCTCATTCTGAGATGGTATTTCAGAGTAAGCATCCTACCTTAATAGAAGCAATATGGAGCAAAGTCTCTCCTCTATGATTTCTTTTCACAGCCATATTGGGTAACAGTTTCATTGCTGAGGGGCTAGATGTCACTTGTCTGTACCTTGAACTATTTAATGTAGAAGGTGGTGTACCTGGTGAAAGACTAATGAATTCATCTGACATATTACTGTTTTTCCTCCCCGATGTACCATGAACTTTACGTTTGCGTGAAGGTGGCGAAGAACTTTCAGGTAATGGCATATTTTCTGAGGGCACCATTTGCTTAACAAAATCTCCACTGGTGCTCAGAATGCTGCTTCTACATCTCTTAGAAATGGGACTGGAACGTCTATTGTGTTGGCCACATTTTCCATTATTTTCTAATGGCAAAGATTTCTTAGATGTAAGATAATTTTTGCAGACCTTCTCAGGAGTCACTACTTCATTCTTGCTCTTAATGTCTGGAGAACTTTGAGGCAATGGAATATTTTCTGAGGGCACCATTTGCTTAACAAAATCTCCACTGGTGTTCAGATTGCTGCTTCTACATCTCTTAGAAACGGGAATGGAAAGTCTATTGTCTTGACCACGTTTTCCATTATTTTCTAATGGCAAAGATTTCTTACATGTAAGATAATCTTTGCAGACCTTTTCAGGAGTCACTACTTCATTCCTGCTGTTAGTGTCTGGAGAGTCTATTTGCTCAGCCAATGGTAAAGAGACTTCAGTTAAACTTCCAAAACATTCAGATTCTGTCAAGGAGCCACTTGCTAGTAAGTCTATTTCACCATTTATCTCAGGGCTGGTGATAACGGATGGTTGGCTACAGAAGGATACCAGCTTTTGCTTCGATTCCTCTTTGGAGTCAAATTTGCCATCTTCTTTTTCCGCCTGTAAATTCCATTTTTGGTTGATTTCAGCTAAAGTTTTCTTTTTTTGCTTTTTTAGAGATCTTGCAGAAGGCTTTTTAGCCTTCTCAGAAACATCTGCAGGAGGAGTTGTGGAAACAAATTCATACATTGAGTCTTGCTGAGCATTTACATCTTTTTTTATTTCAGGTTGGGTCTGCACTGAAACTTTACTCACAACATATCTGACTTTCTTACTTCGTGGGCTAAACCACATTTTAATTGAATTCTTCTTGTTTTCTGCATCATTAAATAACCTTGTCCTAGGTTTATCTTCTTTCAAATCTGAAAGCAAAAAGAAAAAGAAATCTGTTACATGAACTTTATTGCTCCCACCTGGAGCTCCCACAGAATTTTTTTTAATAGTTCCGTCAAATTGTATCATCTTTTAATTGTGTACTTCTTTCTCAGCTCCTAGAGTATGAACTCTTTGACAGCAGACAGACACTCATTCAATAAAGACTTTGCGCTGTATCTTACAGACTGATGATAGCGCAGAGAACAAAACATGAAACTTATATTCCAAATACAGTACCAAAAAAAAAAAAAAAAAAAAAAACCCCATAAAATACTTAAGTACAAATCTACCAGAATATGGGTAAGTTCTGTTTGCTAAAATTTATAAAATACTTATTAAAGAAATTCTACACAGATGGAGAGATACACCATGTTCATGAACTATAACAATATTGTTAAGATGCCGATTCCTCTGAACAGATTTACAGATATAACAAATCCCAATGTAAATTCGAGTATGCTTGCTTGTAAAACTCAACAAGCAATTACACAATTGACATGGAAAAAGGAAGGTACTATAATTTGGAAAGGCAAAAGACTTAGAATGGCCAACATAATACTGAAGAACAAAGTCGGAGGACTCATACAATCTGATTTCAAGACTTATCTAGGACAAAATGAATCCCGGGGATTAAAGATAATAGTCATGTTCCTTTAGGTACATCTTACATTTCAAGCTGTGTAACCAGAGATGAGTAAGAATGAATGAACAATAACTACATACTCAAACATAAACTCCTATGCAAAAGAAGCTACATACACATTATATGTTTTCATTTACATCAAATATAAAACAGCCAAAACTAATTTAATGTGTTAAGTCAGAAGAGTAGTTGGTTATCCCTATAGGGAAAAGAAGCAGTGACTGGAAGGGGGCACAAGAGGGGCTTCCAGGGTATTGCTTTTGTTCTGGGTGAGTTCAGTTTGTGCAAATTCATTAAACTATACACTTAGAAAACATATGTATACATTTTCTACATATATATAAAATACTTTCTAAACACTTTTTAAAAATATAGAATTATAATCAAGAATTAAAACACAAAGATTCTATTAAGAGTAGACAGAATATACAAAGATTCAGTAGAGTTTTAAAAAAGAAAAAAAAAATTGTCTGTATGTAGACAATGTGCCACATTTTGTGAGAGATACTCTTCTTTATAATCACCTGCTACTTTAATTGAGGTTATCAAGGAATGCATTAAGAAGAAGCCGATTTTTGAGCTGAGACGTAAATGATGAAAAGGAAACAGTCCTGTGGATCTCGCATACAATGCAGAAAAGGGATATCATGTTTTATACTTTAGAATTATCACTCTGACTGCCACGTGGAGTAACTTTAGAAAGAAAAGAGTAGAAACAATAACCGATTATGTGGCTATCATCCAATAGGAAATAATATTGACCCTGACAAGTGTTGTAGTAGTAGAAATGGCAAAAAGCATTCTAAAAGATCACAAGTTAACTAGACCAAGAGGCAAGAGGGAGATGATAAAATGCTCAAACGCCCAATAGCACAGAGCATACACAGTCGTTCCTCCATATTACTGGGGATCTGGTTTGAAGACTCCCTCAGATATCAAAATCCCCACATACTCAATTCCTGCACTCACTTCTGGAGAACCAGTGCATAGAAAATGTCAACCTTCCATATACTTGTGTTTTGCATGCCATGAATACTGTATTTTCCATCTGCATTTGACTGAAAAATACCTGTATGTAAGCGGACCCATGTAGCTCAAGCCTATTTGTTCAAGGGGCAACTGTAATAAATTTAAGGGACTAAAGGATGGCCAATACACCTCACTTACAGAGATCAAGGAAGAAAGTGGTTTATAAAAAAAATGTGGCACATACACACCATGGAATACTATGCAGCCATAAAAAAGAATCAGTATATGTCCTTTGCAAGGACATGGATGAAGCTGGAAGCCATCACTCTCAGTAAACTAAACAGGAATGGAAAACCAAAAACCTCATGTTCTCATTTATAAGTGGGAGTTGAAAAATGAGAACACATGGACATAGGGAGGGGAATATCACACACCAGGACCTGTTGGAGGGTGGAGGGCAAGGGGAGGGATAGCATTAGCACAAATACCTAATGCATGACGGGATGATAGGTACAGCAAACAACCGTGGCACATGTATACTTATGTGATAAACCTGCACATTCTGCACATGTATCCCAGAACTTGAATTCAAAAAAACAACAAAAAAAAGATGAGAATAGGCAATAGATCATGCAAGGTCTTGCTGGTAATGTTAAGGAATTCCATACTCAAACTAAGAGCAATGGAAAAACACGAAAGTGTTTTTATGTAAGTCAGGTGGCATTACTAGACGCTTAAGAAACAATATATAAATTTGTGGGGACCACTTAGACTTCCAGAGGTACTATGAAGATTATTTTAAACTAAAAAGACATCTGAGATTAAATGAATAAAGACCAAAGACTTTTTGGACCTTTCTTAGCTGACTGAAGACAGAAACTTCTGGGAGTTAAGGCGGCCAGACATCCCCTTTCACGGGAGATTTATTGGAAAAAAGACAGAGAAGACCACTCACATCTGCATAAACAAACATCATTACAAACTTTCTTATCTCGCATGTTCCCCTAGAAAGCCATTTGTTCTAAATGAAAAAACATTCCAGGTTCATGGATAGGAAGAATCAATTATCATGAAAATGGCCACACTACCCAAAGTAATTTATAGATTCAATGCTATCCCCATCAAGCTACCACTGACTGTCTTCACAGATTTAGAAAAAACTACTTTAAATTTCATATGGAATCATAAAAGGGGCTGCATAGCCATGATAATCCTAAGCAAAAAGAACAAAGCCGGAGGCATCGCGCTACCTGACTTCAAAATATACTACAAGGCTACAGTAACCAAAACAGCATGATACTGGTACCAAAACAGATATATAGACCAATGGAACAAATAGAGGCCTCAGAAACAATGCCACACATCTTCAGCCATCTCATCTTTGACAAAACTGAGAACAGCTAGCAATGGGGAAAAGATTCTCTATTTAATAAGCGGTGTTGGGAAAACTGGCTAGCCATATGCAAAAAACAGAAACTGGACCCCTTCTTTACACCTTAAACAAAAATTAACTCAAGATAGATTAAAGAATTAAACATAAGACCTAAAACAATAAACACCCTTGCAGAAAACCTAGGCAATACCATTCAGGATATAGGCATGGGCAAAGACTTCATGACTAAAACACCAAAAGAAATGGCAACAAAAGCCAAAATTGACAAATGGGATCTAATTAAACTAAAGAGCTTCTGCACAGCAAAAGAAACCATCATCAGAGTGAACAGACAACCTACAGAATGGGAGAGAATTTTTGCAATCTACCCATCAGACAAAGGGCTAATATCTAGAGCCTACAAAGAACTTAAACAAATTTACAAGAAAAAAACAACCAACCCCATCAAAAAGTAGGCAAAGGATATGAACAGACACTTCTCAAAAAGACATTTGTGTGGCCAACAAAAGTTCATCATCACTGGTCATTAGAGAAATGCAAATTAAAACCACAATGAGATACCATCTCAAGCCAGTGAGAATGGTGATCATTAAAAAGTCAGAAAACAACAGATGGTGGAGAGGATGTAGAGAAATAGGAATGCTTTTACACTGTTGGTAAGAGTGTAAGTTCAACCAATGTGGAAGACAGTGTGGGGATTCCTCAAGGATCTAGAACCAGAAATACCATATGACCCAGCAATCCCATTACTGGATATATACTCAAAGGATTATAAATCATTCTACTAAGAAGACACATGCACATGTATGTTTATTGCGGCATTGTTCACAATAGCAAAGACTTGGAAGCAACCCAAATGACAGACTAGATAAACTATGGAATACTATGTAACCATTAAAAAAGGAAGAGTTTATGCCCTTTGCAGGGATATGGATGAATCTGGAAACCATCATTCTCAGCAAACTAACACAGGAACAGAAAAACACACACAGCATGTTCTCCCTCATAAGTGGGAGTTGAACAATGAGAACACATGGACACAGAGAGGAAAACATTACACATCAGGGCCTGTTGGGGGTGGGGAGTTAGGGGAAGAATGGCATTTGGAGAAATACCTAATATAGATGATGGGTTGTCGGGTGCAGCAAACCACCATGGCACATGTATGTGCCATGTAACAAACCTACATGTTCTGCACATGTATCCCAGAACTTAAAGTATTAAAAAAAAAACAAAAATTAGCCATCGAAGACTTTTTTTCCTTCTACCTATTCCCATTAAATTAGGTGTATGAACCCCCATTTTCACCTGTTTGGAGAGCCACATTTTTTTGTGAACTCACATGTACATTCATAAATAAAAATCTATCTTCTCTCTTGCTAATCTTTTTCACAGTTTAATTCATAGGCCCCCATACAACGAACCTAAGAGGGTAACGTTTTTCTTCACTAACAAATTGTACAAGTCAACCACTTTTGTGATTTTGACAATCAACTTGCTTCAAGCTGTCTTACGTTGTTTTTGTCTTTGGGCTATTCATTTTCTTCAAAGAAAAAAAACTATCCCTTATAATTCTCTCCTCCCACCCAATGTAAACATAGGTAAAATCAACCTAGGTCAGCCCAGCACAGGGTGAGCTCACAGACAGTGCTCAGTAAGTACTAGTGAATAGATTATATTTTCCTACATCTTTACAAGTGTTTATGTAAGATATGTTAAAATTAATTTTAAGAGCTAGAAGAAAACTTAAAAATCATTGAGTCTAATTCTTTCATTTTAACAATGAAGGACTAAAGTTAAAATGAAAAGAAAGGAGGAGTTCCCTAACTCCTAATCTGGTGCTCTATCTCCCTACACAAACTGGATTATCAAAAGGTAATTTCAGGTTCAGAAAATGAAAAAAACAATAAAAAATAAAATATAAGAAAGGAAGGAAAGTTGAAAAAACAGCAAAAACCTGATAAGATTAACAACAATAATAA